TTCCTGAAGTGTATTCTTTATCTCGAGAAGTTCCTTTTGTTTCCTTCTCAGTGTGTCTATCTCCTTATGGAGTTTCTCTTTTATTTCATAGAAGTATTTTCTCATCTCCTGCAATTGGTCCTCTGTTTTCTCTTGAAACTTATTGAGTACTCTTACAAAGAATATTCTGAACGATTTATTCTGACATTTCTGCTATCTGTGGTATTTTATCCATTGTTGGTGAGGAGTGATGGTCCTTTGAGGGGGAGGTGTTTTCTCCTATTTCTTGGGGCTGTGCTTTGGTTTTCAGTTATCCAGTCATCTTGTCTTCATACTTCTTTAGAGTATGTTTCTGTAGCTGTGCACTTCTTTATGATATGTGTAAGTTCTGTGCCAATTTCCCTTTTCTATTGTGGGTGGGAGTGTGGAATCCATGATTGGAGTTTAGGCTTTTTGTATTCAGAGGGAAGTTTTTCTCCTTTTACTGCTATGAGAGTTATGCAGAAAGTATTTCCCCAGAGTCTCTTATTTTCAGGGGTTTTGTTCTTACATACTCAAACCTAACTGCTCCCAGTGTGGATGGAGGTTGTACTAACAGGTAGACTATAAGCTAATGGATCACTTGTAAGCTGGAGAGCCCTTTCTCTCCCACATAGGCTAGGTGGGAGTCCCTACTGATGAACTGAAGCCAAGCAGCTTGCCTTGGGCCTGCCTATTGGTCCTTCTACTCTGGGGTTGCAGGATCTCCCTTTTGCTCCTTCCTTCTCTGGGATCGCCTGTACAATCTAACGGAAAACCCAAGAATTCTATTGTTGATTGTGCAACACCAGAGTTCTAAAACAGCTTTTATTGAATACTACTGCAAAATGAAATAGCAATGTTTCAGGTAATCTTTGATAGTCTCATAACAAAAATTTTAACTTCAATATTGAAAATCCTTAAGATAATGAATTATAGTCATTTCATACAAAATGTAGTATATTCTTACCAGCACAATCCAACAATTATACTCTTCGGTATTTACTCAAATAAGTTGGAAATATATCCACACGAACACTTGCACGGAGGTATTCAAAGCACTTTACTTATAATTGCCAAAACTTGGAAGCAATCCAGATATTCTCCAGTAGGTGATTGACTAAATTAACTGTGGTACATAATATCAATATAAAAGAAATGACCCATCAGCCCATGAAAAGACTTGGAGAAAATGTAAATGTTTTCCACTGACTGAGAAAAGCCAATATGAAAAGGCTACATACGGCATGATTTCTGTTATGTGACATTTGGGCAAAAGCAAAACTATGGAGAGGGTAAAAAGATAGGTGGACGCTAAGTCTTAGGGGCAGAAGGAAAGGTACGTAAGTGGAGCACAGAAGATTTTCAGGGCAATGACAATGCTCTGTATGATATCATGGGAGATCTGTGACAGATTCGTATGTATCCAAAACCCCAAGAATGTACACCAAAGTCTAATGTAAACTATGACTCTGGGTGATAAAGTTATGTCAGTATGGTTTTATCTATTTTAACAGGTATGATACTATGGTAGGTGTTATTGATAATGAAGGGTTTTTATATGTGTGAGAACAGGTAATATATGAGGTATCTCTTATTTTTGTTGTGTCACTTTACTGCTCTAAAAAATATTTTTTAAAAAAATTGGATAAATAATGTATCTAATTTCTTCACCAAGGAAAATATGTGGATGTCAAATTAACCCAAAAGAGGCTCAGCATCAGTCATCACTAGGGAAATGTTGAAAGAAATGATGTGAAATACCTTTTATACACCTATTAAAATAGAAATCAAGAAACAAACAACATTATCATGTGCTGATGGGGATGGCAATAAGTGGATCTCTCGTATGTGACTAATGAGAATGCAAAACGGTACAGACATTTTGTAAAACAGTTGGGCAGTGTTTTATAATGTCAAACAGAAACCTGCCCTATGACCCAGAATTCTCCAAACAAGATATTTATCCTAGAGAAATTAGAACATGGGTGCACATAAAAGTACAAAAATATATAGTTATCCCTCAGTAACTGTGAGAGATTGGATCCAGAACAGCTACGGATATCAAAATCCATGGATGCTGAAGTTCCTTACAGAAAATGGCATAGTATTTGCATGTAGTCTATACATAGCCTCAGGTACTTTAAGTCAATTCTAGATTGCTTATAACACCTAATACAGTGTAAATACTGTGTAAATAGTTGTTATATTGTTTTACATAGGGATTAATGACAAGGAAAACAGCCTGTATACATTCAGTACAGACATAACCAATTTCGTTTTGAATATTTTTACCTGCGTCTGGTTTATTCAATGGATACAAATCTTGTGGATACAGAGAGCGAACTGTGTTTGTTTATAGAAAATTAACTCGTAATCAGAAAACCTGCAGCAACTTAAACGTCCTTTCTCATGGTCTAGATGATAGTTTGTCTGCCCAGAGTTTCATGTAGTTGAATTTAACGTGAGGAGGTGGTGAGTCCTCTTAGGTCATAATGAGTTCATGGTGATTTTGTCATGGAGGCAAAACTCTCCTGAACAGATGAACAATATCATACCCAGTGAGTTTTAAATCTCATGAGAAGAGGTTAGTTCTCATGAGAGCTGGTTACTATAAGACAGAGAAGTTACTAATTAAAAATAGTTTAGGACCAGCAGGTGGCATGGTGGTTAAGGGCATTGGACTTCCACATGACCAACTACAGTTCAAGTCCCAGACAGCTTGCTTTCTCACTTTCCCTCTCTCTCTCTCTCACTCTGTCCCTCTCAAATAAAATAATTCATTTTTTTTTAAAAAGAATAGTTTAAAAAATTATCTCAAGCTATGCTTTTTTTGTTTTGTTTAGTGTTTTGTTTTTTTTTGAGAAGTTTTTGCGATAGGGTAAGTGCACTCGCCAGATAGAGAGAGACAGAGAGACAAAAAGCGAGAAATCACTCCCCAGGAGGGGATGGCCATGCCACAATCCCTTCTCCTCCATTCTCCTCTCGGGATCTTGGGCACGCACATGTGCCCGGCATGAATTTTTTTTAAGCCACCAGGTCCGGCGGTGTGAACTGGGGTCGACTACATGGGAGTCCAGCGACATAGCCATTACGCTAACTGCTGGTCCCAAGCTATGCTGTTTTAAAAGAGGTCCCAGAGAATAGGGGCCCTATCCTTCTACCTATGTATCTATCAACTGGCATGGCTCTGTGTGTGAGAGAGTGTGTTTGTGTGTGTGCGTGTGTGTGTGTGTGTGTGTGTGTGTGTGGTGTTGTAGACAGCATCTATCCATGTCCTGATCCTCTTGTTTCTGCCTATCAGGTAGCTGGGACTACAGGCATGCTTTAACATGCAAGCTTCTTCACATAGAGATTTACTATGTTGCCACATTGGCCTCAAACTTATGATCTGCCTGCTTCAGCCTGTTCTTTAGTGGATACCACAGGCCTGCACCAACATGCTTGGTCTTTTATGGTGGCCTGGGAATCCAACCTCTGGTCTCCCATGTGACCTCAGCCTGCCAAGCGGCATTATCTAACACTGGGCCCTAATCTATTTTTCTTAAACCCTGTGTTACAAAACCAAAGTTAGGGCCTGAAAGGTAAGTAGAAAACAAGCAATTCCTGTTTCCTACATTTTGAGAACTGTATTTTGATTCTACAAGCAATTTCAATGAGAAAATGGAAACAAAGAAAAAATTTGCTGAAATTCTTTCTGTTCACTTTTGTGAAAATGCTATTAATACTTCTTTTATCTGCACTGCCTAATATAGTGAGGCACAGATAGTGTGCACTAAATCTGTTCTGAATAAATTAACAAAATTAACTCCAAAAAAGTGGTGAAATTATAACCTTCTCAAGCTCCCAATTCTCTTAGAATCAGAACCTGTTTAATTTTTACTCTAACAATCCATATCTTTATTTGCAGTTGTTTTTAATAACTAAAGCATAACTAACTAAAATTACTAATGCGAATTATGAAGCTAAAACATAAAATTAACTACTAAATCTGCAACAGAATTCCACTTATAAATGTTTAAGCTTCTCTTCAAATCCTGCTGTTAAATCCCTTTGATAACCAGTTTTCCTAAATCTTCACATTTCCAAACACATCCTTTCACTCTATACCAGTTAACAGATTTCTTAGTTTACTTTTACTTGTAATGAGTTTTGGAAAATAGAAAATAAAATCAAACCTTATTAGAAAGATCCGTGTTAAAGCTCATTTAAACCTGAAAGACAAGATAGTTTGAACACAAATTTGTTAAACAGTTCAAAACGTTGACATTGTATCTGATGCTATTTAAGATCATGGGCCTTAGTGACTACTGTGATTTACCCAGGTTAACAGAACTTTGCTAGTGTGTGGCTCAAATACAGACCAGTCTGGCATCTCCCTGTGCGTACCCTGATCCAATGGAGACTACTACATCCATAATTGTAAAAGTTGCCTTGAATTAGGCAGCGAACAGCAAAGCCGTTTAAGTTATGTGATGGTTATTGTTTTTCCAGTTAACAGGTTTTGTGAAATATAATCACCACAGTTCTTCTTAGATACAGGGCATTATTGAAGTTAGTATTTATTATGTGTTAATTATAGTGTTATGAAAGTGATATTTTCATCTCTGAATGGAAATGAATTTTAGTTCTTTGTTAATAGGATAGTATTATTCCATAATATGTATGTATATCTACTAAGGCATTTATCATAGTACATTGTTTATTTAGAAGAAGCTTAAACAATAAATGATCTAAATAATATATAATTACCATAACTGTCATTGAATGAATGATTCATTAGAATCAGATGCTTTCTGTTTAATAACTCCTCACAACTCTCCTGAAAGGTTTATATTATTGTATACAATTCACTTTGAAAGAAAGTACTCAAGATGAATTTAAAGGCCACTTCTCCGATTATTCATTTAGGGGATTTAAACCACCTTCACATTACGTTGACTTTGCTTTCTGCTCATGATATCTTTCATATTTAGCTAATCATTTTCTGTCTGTGCCTTTAGGATTTGATACCAGTATTTTGCCAATTTGCAAGGATTCACTTGGCTGGATGTTTAACAGGCTTGATACAAACTATGACCTGCTATTGGACCAGTCAGAACTTGGAAGCATTTACCTTGATAAGAATGAGCAGTGTACCAAGGCATTCTTCAATTCCTGTGACACATACAAGGACAGTTTGATATCTAACAATGAGTGGTGCTACTGCTTTCAGAGACAGCAAGGTAAAAGATGAGACATCTACAGATGCAAATAGGTGACCTGCATGCCAAATGTTATCTATTCTCTCATGACAAGAAAATAATAGTACACCATGCGCCGCTCCTTTTGATAGACATTTTTAAATATGTGTTCAATAGAAGAGCAAAAAGGCAGCATGTTGAACAAAATAACTTTGCCTGATATACAAAATATTCTAAATAAGATGAAAAATAGTAATTAATATTTTATATTAATGCACTACATTATAATTTTCATTACATACCATGAAGAAACACATAAGATAATCATTAAAATTAATTTGCTATCTGTTTTGCCCATGGTGTAAAATAAATGGGTTTTTTATCATTATGCTGTGCAGTTTTAATGTTCTATTTTGTGATTTTATTAAATGAGCTGAACGAACCATAGCATTCACCATAACGGTTTTTTTATTCCCTTTATTGTAAAATGACTTAGTCTTTCAAACTTTTCAAATTAGCTTTGCTTTTTAGAAGTTCTCTGGTAAAGAAATTGTCTTCTTTGGAAGAGCTAAGGCAAGATAAAGAGTTGGAATAATGCTAGATTTTTATGTATTGTTCTTTATTAGAAAATACAAACATAATGTAAAATTAGAATTATGCTCATAGAATCAATTGAATAACAATCTTGTATTAAGTAGTTTTGTGAAATTGAAGAACAATAATATGAGTAATTTTTATGCTAATATAGAAAACCTAGAAATTAGTTTAGTATAGCATACCTGGCATTATCAATGACTTTTTTCCCTAAATTTTTATTTTATTTATTTTATGAGAAAGAAGGACAAATGCCCCTGCCAAGATCTCCCCATGTAGTGATCTTTGCCTCAGCATCCCAGCCAGCCATGGTCACAGTGCATGCCTGTTCAGGTCCATCTGGAATCCAAATCCAGGTCTCCCATGTGGCTGCATTAATGCGCAATGGTACCTTACTGTCTGTGCCACCGAGTCTGGGTCTGTCCATACTTTTAAAACTTCTTGACATCTAGGAAATGAACAAGTTACTTTAAACCATATTAATGTTTCTCAGTCTTTCATATGCAAAACTAACACATCATATAGGGCATTTTACAATCTCACTTTTTATATTTAGTAATTCTTCAGTAACTGGGGCAAAATGATTAACTATGAATTGATTAATGATGAGTCAACAGCAAAATTAGCTGACTAAAGTAGCATGACTATAAAGAAACCACATTAAACAACATTTTAAAAAAATTTTTCCATGTTAAAATATTTTGCATTGCACACACAAAAATCATACATTGTTGACTTATCATGTATTTGTTTACTAAGTAATTGAACACTCCTAAAAATCTTCATCCTGGTATTGATGACTAGCATATATTTAAGTAATATAAAAAATAAAAATAATAATAAATCTATGTAAACTGCCAAAAAGACACATAGTCATATAATCTTTTCTTAGGAAGACAAAAATTAGTTCTTTTTGGTGTTTTGACATCATTATTTTGATGTTTACATGTGAATATTTTAAAATATTCTGAGTAATTCTGAATACATCATCTACAGAAATAGGTAAATACTTTCATCTGAAAATACTCTTAGATTTTTAGTAATATTTGTAGAATTGATGAAAGGCCCTCAAAGAAAAAAAAATTATGATTTTAAAATCTCAAATGAGATTGAAAATATTAAATTCAAACAAGTGAAATACTCATAGTTGTCCAAGATAAAAAATGTTTTAACTAAAGTTAAAAAAACAAAGTACTTTTCATGACTAATTTTCTGAAATCATGACAATTAAGCAACACAAAATGAGCATGATTATAATTTGTTAGAATTCTTTATTTTAAGTATTCCTAAAAGAGTAAGTAGAAAGAATATTAATTTGGGATCAGTGACAGTTATTATACATAAAACAATAATAACATAAGGCAAAACATTATGTGACAATTTAGAATTTTACACTTCTCTTCAAGTGTCATTCTTTTAAGTGGTTGAGTTTGAAAAACATGCAAATGCTTATTTCCAAAATGCTTTAAGTTTCCTTTTTAAAATAATGTTGTATCAGAATTACTGCATATTGTGTCCTGTTTCTAAATTGCGTATGTAAAGTATATGGTTGAAACTACAATGACCAAGGTTTGTTAGCATTATACAACATTAAAAAGTTATGATAAGGGGTTGGCAAGTGGCGTGGTGATTAAGGGCGCTGGACTCCCACATGGCTGACCATGCTTCGAGTCCTGGATCTAGCGGCTTGCTTTCTCACTTTCTCTCTCTCTCTCTTACCCATTCTTGCTCTGTCCCTCTCTGGTCAAATTGAAAAATAAGTAAATAAATAAATAAAAGTGAAATAAAATATTTCTTTAAAAACCGTTATGATAGGATCAATGGCATAACATGAAAGAGGCTAACTTTTGCACACAGATGGTTTAAAGTTTATTTTTATGGTTACAGAATGTTTTACTCAGCAGATAACTTTATGTTCTTTGGTCTGTTAAAAATGTCTTCTCTTTGCCCCTCATGCCCAACTTCTACCACCCACTCCCATCCTTTGCAGTATCTGTTGTCTATACTTCTCCTCTGCACTATCATTTCTTCAGATCTTTCCATTTCTACCAGAGTGCAGACATTTGGTACATATTGAGTGGGTATATACAAGGGGTCTCTTTCAAAGTCTGGTTCACTTCGCTTAACATTAAGTATTTTATATTTATCCATTTGAACCAAATAATAGGGTCTCATTGTTTCTTATGGCTGGGTAAGTGAGTATATAGGTGCAACAGTTTTTCAATCCAGTCATCAATTCTTGAACACTTAGGCTTAGTCTATTAAAATTTATTTATTTACTTTTCATGTATTTATTTCTTACATGAGCAAGAGGGGCAGCAGCCAACCCTAGATCATCGGCATGCAATGCCAAGCATACACAGGGAGGTCTCAGGGCCTGAGCTGGGGGTCTTCCCGAGTGGGATTGCCACACAGAATGTTGTATTCTACTTCTACACTACCATCTGACTCTTTCATAGATTAGTTTGAATTTGAATTGTAATTCAAAGCTGTTTCTTTATATCATGGGAACACTTTCAAACAAGCGGAAAGCATAATCAGTTAATTGGGCAGCAGTCAATCAGCTGAGATTAAATTGCTGAGTTGATTAACCTTTTAAAAGTAAATGATAAGAAGTATTTCCTTCATGTAAGTACTGTACACCATTTTCTTGTCATCCCACTCAGATATTCTGAAGAAAAAAAACCAAGGTGATCTATCAGTAACAATAATTAGAAAATCAACATTCTCTCTTTCTTTCTCTCTCTGTCTCCACATACAAGGGCATGTCAAAAAGTTCATGGGAACTTGGAATTAAAGGACAAGTTTATTTTCATGCAAGAAAAACTAAAATAGATGCATAGCTTTTTTTTTATTCTAATATACATGTTGCATGAACTTTTGAATGGTTTATCTTCTCATATACTTAGATATATGAATGTATCTTCCTAATAGACCAACTAGTGTGTAATGTGGACTGTGTAAAGACTGAGTTCGGATGGCATGAGGATCACATTTCCTTTGTTTAACTACAATCTTTGAAGTAACATTTTTATGTCGTTGCAGACCCACCTTGCCAGACGGAGCTCAGCAATATGCAGAAGCGGCAAGGGGTAAAGAAGCTCCTAGGTGAGTCATAGATCATTCTTCTGAAGGCTTTATTGCTTACATAAATAACCCCAGGGAAACAGCAACATAAAATCAATATTAATCCAACAAAGATAGACTGCGTTAAATTTCAGGAACAAAATTTATGAACTTTTGGAAAGCCATTAAACTTACTTTTATTACCTTACCTATTGAAAGATATTATGTCTGTTTTATTACCCTAATATAATGTTCATTTTGAATGTTATTAAGTAAAAGAGGAGATTTAAACATTGCTAAAGTTAAAACATCAGCAGAAACTTCAATTCTAATTCTATGGTTAACCATTTAAGAATTAATGGCTATATATGGAATTTAAAGCAAGCACTTGTATAGAGGGTGTGAAAATAAATGCTCTATCTCTGGAAACTCGCACAGATTTTTTAGTGTTTTTCACAAGCATTTTTACTACCTTACTTTTAGTAAGTAAGTGTATGAATAGACAGATATTTCTAATTTTACCCAAAGGCTTGAAATATTTGAATGTTTGACTATCAACAGATGATTAAACTATTATGTGTGAGTATAGATTTTTCTTGTAAATATGTACTTTCTAAATAAACTTAAAAATAATTTTAAACTCAGAAAAAGTTACAAAGATAGTGCACTGTTTCTACATATATTTCACCTAGCTTCCTCTAAAGATGAAATCTTAAATGTACCAAATGAGATCAGCATATTTGTGAAAACTAAGAAATTATCATTGTTGTAAGACTCTTAACTAAGCTTCAGACTGGATTTCATCAGTTTTGCCACTAGGATTCGTTTTCAAGTTTAGGATCCAAACAGAACACCATACATGAAACATTTATTAATGTACACGTGTATGTAGGGGTACATCATTTTATAATGTCTCTGTATTTGATTTCTGTGTATTGTGATATGCTATCTTTGTGATTATAATATGGTATGCTTAGAGAAAGAGATTTTTAAATATTACTTCAAAAAAAATTTTAGTACTGTTTTTACAGCATGAGAAGAATAATGGTTGGAAATAAAGCCTTTTAGGTGCAGAAAATACTGGTGTTATAATAAAAGCTATACTGTTGGTTTTTTTTTTTTAATCCTGTTGCAATATACATGATAGTAAAGCTAGTAAGTGGAAATCTAATTCTTACATAGACTTATTTGTTGCCATAGATCAAAGTGTTGCCATGCACAATGAGAAAAAACATTCACATTCAATTGAAAATATTTTAGACTTGATCAGTCTATTAGTAACAAAAATCTATTAATTCAGACATTGATTATTTGAAGCTACAGAATGCAACGACATACTTACCAACCATTGGGGAGGAATCACCTTTATTCTGGTTACATAATGTAAACAAAAGTCATTATTGGTGCCAGTGAGTAGAAGAGTGCTTGCTGGACTCCCACATGGCCTGCCATGGTTTGAGTCCCAGACCTGGTGACTTGAAAATCACTTCAGGCACACATGCGTGCATACCCACCCGAGTTCCCAGTAGGAGAATGGAGGAGAAGACATACAATTTGCTGGGGCCAGCAGGTGGCATGTTGGTTAGAATGCTAGACTCCCACATGACCAGCTGCAGTTTGAGTCCTGGACCTGATAGCTTACTTTCTCACTCCTCACCCCGATTAAAATAATAGTAATAATAATAATAATAGAGATAAATGAAATAAAATAAACATTTTAAAAAATAAAGATAGAATTTGCTTAACAAAGGACTAAATCCAGGAAATGTAGGCAGTTCACCTTAGCAATGGCCAGCTCCATGACAGCAGAGACCTTATTTATTTTCTTCAACAGGAATCACTGATATGTGAGAGGACTTCACAAATTTGGCAGAAAAATGAAATGAAAGTAAAATTTCTTTCCACACATAGATTTTTTCTAATATGCATTTTCCATGAACTTTTTGAAGACCACACATGTAGCACTCCATGCGTTTATGTCATGACTACATTAATGTACAATGAGTATTCATCAAAAGACAGCACCACTTATTCATAAAATACACATGTGTACTTGCATGCATCTCTATGTATATGTGCGTGTGTGTGTTTCACAGGACAGTACATTCCTCTGTGTGATGAAGATGGTTATTACAAGCCAACACAGTGCCACGGTAGTGTTGGGCAGTGCTGGTGTGTTGACAGATATGGAAATGAAGTCATGGGATCCAGAACAAATGGTGTTGCGAATTGTGGTAAGGAGAAGGGTTACTTATTTAATGATTTTCCAAGTACAAGATTATGAAATTCAGAGCTTTATTCATTTTTCAAATGCTTAATGAGAATTTACCCTATGCAAAGACTGTGAACTGTGTAGGGGTGGAATGACACAAAGACTTGCTCCTAGCACATTAAGGTGGTATATGTAATAAATAGAATTGAATAACTTAGATATTTTAGAGAGAATAATTAAAAGCTAGCTTCCTTTTCTTCAAAACAGAAAAAATTTTAGATCCTTCCATTTTTTCTCTCAAATAAGGCAGAATTTTTCATTCATTCTACTCCCAAGTCAGCAAACTCTAGTGTATGCCATGTTCCCAGATGACCCTATGTTTTCATACCTCGAAAGAGGTGACTTAGGAGGTGTAGAGTTGCCAACCAAAGAAAACCCACCTCTTGAAAGTAAAGGCTCATAAATTGCAGCTAGAAGCATTATTAATTACTTCAGTTATCAGTGATGAATAACAAATTTTTTCTTCATGTTGTATTTGAATTTTATATGGAAATGAGTTTAATAAGTGAGCAAGGAAATTATTTTGGGAATAGAGATGAATGTTTTTAGCATGTTATAGTTAAGAAAATATATTAAATTGGAGAGTAGAAACATTTTCTTTATGTATGATAGGAATTTTAATTTGTTGTATTGTAAGATCAACCAATTTTTGAGCACCAATTTCATTAAATAATTTGTTATAATTAGCTCACAAAGAAGTATTACATTGAAATATTACACACACTCGCATTTAACGAGTTGAAAAGAGGACACTTGCTGAGATAGGTGTATTATTGTCTCCAATATATCCAAGGTATATACTAATACCTTTTAAAAATAAGTTTCACGGGACCAGCAGTTAGCATAATGGCTATGTCGCTGAACTCCCATGTAGTCGACCGCGGTTCAAGTCCCAGAGCTGGTGACTTAAACTTATGCCAGGCATGTGTTTGTGTGTGCCCAAGATCCCACGAGAAGAATAGAATAGAAGGTATTGCTGCATGGCCATCCACCTGGGGGGTGATTTCTCATTTTCTGTCTCTCTGTCTCTCTCTGTCTTTCTGGCAAGTGCACGTACCCTATGGCAAAAACCTCTAAAAAAAATATGTTTTACAAATATTGTATAGCTATGTTAGTTTTATTTTGCTGTAGTGACACTAATTTTGTGGCTTAAACAACACAAATTATTATCCTTCAGTTCTATATGTCAGAAGTCTAAACAGGACTCACCAAGCTAAACATCTGGATATCACAAGGGTCATGTTTTATTCTGGAAGCTTTCAAGGATAGTCTGTCTCACGTTCACCTTCTCAGGGCAGTTTATATACCCTTTCTTCAGTTTTAAACCAGCAACACAGCCTCTTTCTCACCTACTCATCTCTCTCTCTGACCCTGTTTAGAGAAAGGTTATTTGCTTTTAAGGGCCCCACTGAAAATTTGAACTCATCTGGATATTCCAGGACAACCACTTCCCATCCCAAGGCCTTTAATTTAATTGAAAATGCAATGTCCCTTTGAATATGTAAAGTAACATATTTATAGGATCAGGAACTTTATCAGGAAGTTAATATCTTTGTGGGGCAGTTATTCTGTCTACCACATATGTAGAAGAAATTTAAATAGTTTGTAAGATTCAAAGTCTGAAATGAACGTCTGTAAACCTGGGCTAAAATAAGTATTATTGGACTCAAAATCCTATGAACCACATCTCAATCTCAATAATGATTCGACTTTTAGCTCATAAATTTGAACAAATGATAGAATTTTAGCATGAGGGAGTTTTCCAGAACGTGGATCTTCCTTAGCTTTCTTAAATAACATGAAGAACAAGTTAAAATGTTATTAATTTTCTCATTTTTCATTAGAATTTTATCTTTCAGAAGTAATTCCACTAACTCAGTCAAGTAAAGGTACTGTTTACTTTTTTTAAGCTATTGATTTTGAGATCTCTGGAGATTTTGCAAGTGGAGATTTTCATGAATGGACTGATGATGAGGATGAAGATGAAATTATGAATGATGAAGATGAAATTGAAGACGATGATGAAGATGAAGGGGATGATGATGATGGTGGTGATGACCATGATGGATACATTTGATTGACAACAGATGAGATCAATAAATTCTACATTTCTAATATTTACAAAGTGATAGCCTATTGAGAATTACCTTCTTGCCCCCCAAAATAATTATTCTAAACCTCACATATATTTTATATAATTATTTCAATATTGCAGCTAAAGTCGTAGAAGTTTATGTTTAAATAAGAATAATTTACTTTCAGTTTTCACATGCCTTACAGAAAAAGAAAACATATATGGAGTCTAGGCAGGCCAAAAAATGTTATGAAGAGCTACTACTATAAAATTCTCCTAAGAACAAACTTTATAAATCTCTCACAAACAAAATGTCGTCCAGTGCTTAGGACTGTAGGTATTATTTTTCTGAAAGATAGTCTAAGTTAAGTTTATAATAATTTATTAGTTACCTGGACCCCAGGGATTTCATAAAATTATACGTGACCTTAATTATAATTCCAAAGTAGCATCTTCTCAAACTTAGAGTGAATCAGATAAAGTGAGAGACACTCCATTGTACGGAAAACAAAGTGACAATTGTAGATCCTCTATTGTGTTTATATTAATAATGATGTTTTAAATTATGAAATTATTCTAAATAAGATAGGACATTTTACAAAATGGCAAGTATGGAAAACCATGGATTCTGAAAGATTAAAATTTAGTGGTCCTTTCTAGTTTATTTTATTTTTAATTTGGGTGCAGGCCCCTGTAGATTTTTTACAGGTGTTCTTTAACAGAATGCTTTCTTTCTTTTTCTAAATTTTCTTATCTTTCTGACCAGCAACTAAAAGTACGGAATTTAAATTAGGAAGACAAAAGGAAAGATTAATTTAAATCGTATTTTCACAAAAGGTTGTCATTTGTCCCTAGGTCAAGTTTTTAAAACTCTTTAATTCTGACTTTATTTCTTACTTTAGGTAAAAATTTGTATTTAATCATATAATTATGCCATTTTTGTTTGTAGTGCCAAGACTTAGAGAATATACTGTATGGTGCCTTGCAAAAATAGAAATAGAAAGATTTTAGCATGCATACCACTATAGGATATTAGACAATATGTAAGCACACCTAAGTAACAAATTAATACCAGTAAAGGTACTGCTGCTGGAATGAGGAAAATGGAATATGTTTCTTTCTTTTTCTTCCTATTGTTACATAATTGCCATGTGAACTTGTTTATGATTATTGTGTAGAGTAGCATTTAAGATTTACCTGTAACAAAAATTACTTTAATTGCTCTATTTAAGTTAGCATGTTAATTAATTGTGTCGTCATTTGGCACACCATCCCTTTTAAGTATATCAGACCAATGGTTTTGTGCCCATAATAACAATGGAAAAACCTATTGAAAGTTATACATTGATTTCTTTCATTTTAACAGTGGGTCTACTGGTTCCCCAGTATAAATTTCATTGAAAGCAAAATTGGTGGATTCTTTCCATTTGATTTATACACAGTAAATAAAAACTTTAATGTTGATCTTATGTAATATTTAAAATATGATGCATTTTCTTTTTTACTGTTTATGTATAGTTTACAAAATAAAGAATCTTGTAACCAAATTAAACATTCTCAATAGTTTTTCTGGGGTACAGAGAGTAGCATTAAGTGTTGTTCATCTTGACTTTTTTGAAACGCATATAGTATATCACAAACTAGCTCAAAGTTTTTTGAAATTTTTGAATTTCAAGATCAGAGCTCTTAGCATTTTGAATATTGTTCTCTAAGAAATGTTAAAAGGGATTTCATTTCTTGGTTTGTTATTATATCTTTTGTTTGTCATATTATTGCAAAATAAACCATTTCTTTTGTCAAGGGTGGTATGTTTGAATCCATTTTTCATGATGCCATAATTAACATATTTAAATTTTTATAGTTGCAGCATTTCAAAAGAGTGGTAAGATACTCTAAATTGTTTATTTTAAGAAATGTATAGTAATCATAAAATATAACTTGTTGATTGATTGGAAAAAGACAAAAAAAAATTCTACTCAGAGGTTTAGTAACTGAATTTAAAATAGTAAATAGAATGGTCTTGGAGTTAAGCTATTTTTAAAAGCGTCATCTTTCACACTACCACAAAAGCAACTAATTCAACAGTATATATAAATTTAAAAATATTTACACTATTAAACTTGTATAAATTAAGTGTTCCTGTATAATACATGTTTGTGTGTGTGTGTATAAAAATTTTTATTTGTGACATGTATTAGGTCTCTTGATCATCATTTTATTCATTTTGAATGTCTTGATGCAATATGATTATACTTGTATATTTATTCTAAAAAATATAAATACTAAGCATATAAAATAAACCAAACTATTCTAGGTACTAGAGATTCATCAGTGAACAAAATTAGGAATCTGGTAGTTTCATGTGAAAGACAGGTGGTAAATTTATTTCTAGCTGTAACACAACGCAGATGCATTCTCCATTGGGATCAACCAAACAAATATATTTATTAAATTTAATTTAAAGAAAAAACAAGGTATTCTCAGTGAAAGTCTATTATACAAATTCAAAATCTTAAGGAGGCGATTTTAATTATAAAGAATTCAATCTATCCTTCATTTTCTTCTTGCTTCAGTTGAATTCAGATTCACAGGCTTGAAATCATACTAAGGATTATACTTTAAGCTTTATTTCTCTAGTGTTACTTAGGAACCACATATGCAAGTCAAAATCTGTAAGAAAATTCTGACAGAAAATTAAAAATTCTGCAGAGGAAAAGAGTAGAAATGTATAAATATCATATCTTTCTGATATATCAATAATGGAAATATGGAAATTAATTAATGCTTTTTATTATACATATTGAGCATAATAATACACATTTGCTGCACAGTGTTATTGGAGACACAAGCTAAGTGTGAAATAAACATAAGTTCCAGTTGGGGTAGCACAACAGCAGGGCGCTGCTGACTGGTGCTGGGACCACATGGGAGGCCTGGAATTGGAATCCCAAACAAACTTGAACACACCTTGTACAGCAGCATGCCTGTGAGACTGGATGGGAAATGGTGTGGTGTGGCAAAATTCTGTTAAGGATGCCTGTCTGTCTCTCTGCCTTTCTCTCATAAGAAAGAAAGGAAGGAAAGAAGAAAAAAGAAAAAGAAAAAAGAAAAACAAAACATTTTAATGTTGGTCAAAATATATTTGTCCTAAAAACTATATTTCTGCAAATTATTTTTTGATTAAAACATTATTATTATTTAAAGATTTTTGCTATAAGGGGCATGTGCTTGTTGGAGAGACAGAGAGACAAAAAGTGAGAAATGATCCTCCCCCAGGGGGTTGGGCCATGCTGCAATCCCTTGTCCTCCTTTCTCCTCTTGAGATTTTGGGCACATACACACACATTCCAATGTGAATTTCAAGCCACCCGGTCTGGGGACTTGAACCAGAGACAACTGTGTGAGAGTCCAGTGCCTTAACCTATATGCCACTTGCTGGCCCCTCTGCAAACTATTTAACAGGATAAAATCCATCAAAGTAAAATATCAAAATCATTAGCAAATTTTTTTTTAATTCACGAAATATCTTCTGACTATTCTTTGTATTCATTTTTATATTTTAATTCTGTATTAAACTAAAGAACATATTAAAAGTATAATCATTGACCCATGTGGCCTGCTGACAGTTTATTTAGAATACACGTAGAGAAGTGCATAAATAACCATATGCTTTGTTACAAGTATTTTGATGGCTTAGTTCATATAAAAGTAATGATGCCTTGTTTATATGCTATAGATCATTCAGGGCTCATACATAGTTCACTGTGTTTAGATCCATCACACTTTTGTTTTAAGATGGAAATATAAGGCTAGGTGGTAGTACAGTGGTAAAGTGTGATGTTCTTCAAGGCCGAGCCACATGGAAAGGTTCTGAGTTCACATCCAGACGTGCCAGAACACGTCTGGCAGGTGTGTGCCCTCCATCTGGGGCTGCTGAGACTTGAGTGGACCATAGTATCAAGACCTCACTGGGAATGCTGTCTCCTCTGCCTGCTTATGGAAGAAATAAACTGAAGAGGTGGGAATACAGACATTTTAATTGCTATTTTCTCTGTTATGAAACCTCTAATCCAGAGAAATGAGATACCTGAAGGTGACTAAAGGCACTAAGCTAGAAACTGAAGTACAAAAGCAGGCAGTTCAATACCACCTGAAATTAACTGTCCTTTCATCTCTCCTAAATGTTCTCTCTTAAAATGTGCTTTCTATTTAAGGGCTGATCTTTCCAAAACATTGATTATCCACAGTTTAAGATGTCTTATCCCAAAGAGCAGTTATTTACAGAAATTGCTTAATATAGTTTCCCATTATTGTAATTCCCAAGTGTGCCTTTTCAATTGGGATGTTAAATATTGCCAAGTATCAGGAATGTTTTTGAGTCCCTTTGGGCCAAGATTTCTAAGTGTCAGAGTTGAAATAAAAACAATAATTAGATATTATAAATCTGTTTTAGAGTTAAGCAGAGGCTACATCAAAATAGTATTTTGAGCCTATTAGATGGAAGAAAATATAAACTTTGTCATAAGCATTATTTATAATTTAAAAGTAATTTGGGGTGAGTAGGAAAGAAAAACGAGGAAAAAAACAGGGCAATTTGACAATCTAAGCCTCAAAAAGGATGTAAATGTGAGTTATGAATCATTTTGCTTTTGTCAGAAATTCAGAAACTGATTTCCTCATATAAATAAACATAAGTATGAGAAGAATCCATTATTGATAAACTGCTTCTTAGTTTAACTTAGCAAGATAACAGTTTTTCCTAATGTGACATGTAAATATTCAATATTTTCTTTTATGATAATGTGTTCCAGGTGCTCGTCATTTTTACTCCAAATCTCTTTTTAGAGCTAATTTGACCCTCTGGAGAAAGACAGGTAAAGGATGATGGGAAAATGCCTTTTACCATAAGATATCTTAGTGGGAAAATTAACAAATAGAATCTCTTAATCCTGGCTTCATTTTTATTTTCTAAAATAAGCCTCTCATATATATTTAAATCAAAAAATGAATGACTTGGGAACCAGCACTTAGCTTATGCTATGGCTGTGTCTCTGGACTCCCATATAGTCGACCACAGTTCGCGTCCCGGACCCAGTGGCTTAAAACTCATGCCGGGCGCGTGTGCGTGTGTGCCCAAGATCCCGAGAGGAGAATGGAGGAGAAGGGATTGCGGCGTGACCATCCCCTTTGGGGGGTGATTTCTCACTTTCTGTCTCTATGTCTCTGTCTGTCCGGCGAGTGCACGTGCCCTATAGCGAAAAAATCTCTCAAAAAAAAAAAGAAAAGAAAAAAAAAAAAAGAATGACTTTATCCAGGGTCAATCCAGTCAGTTCTGCAAATCATAGACTGTTGAGAATATTGATTTGTTGATTGCAATGTATATTTGGTACAAGCTTCAGAATTACAGAAGCAATGAGTGTTTCAATCTCAGTTTAGTTTCTAACACTTGTAATTATTCTAATACATTTTTTTATTTCCAAGTCAGTGTATGTGAATCCTCTGATCTTATGATTTTATTAGGGTTTCTGAAGAGCCACTATTTGAAGTGAAATTGGACCCTGGCAATTTAAAATGAGGGGAAACAGAAGACAGTTAATGAGATTCGGTATGTTGTATATTAACTATTATATCCACTTGAAATTTAACA